AGGGTGATCTGTCAACGGCTCTACTACTCAGCTCTATGCGAGAGGACAAGAAGAAGCACACGACTACAGCTCCGAAGCTGACCGGCTCTCCGCTTCCTACCACTCCTCCAAAACTAGCCAGAGACAAGATCTCGGCGCACGAGCTTCCAGGTCCGGTTTACCCTCAAGGCTGCTGTTGTTTGACGGATGATGGCACACCTACAATATGTGCCATGGCGGAGTGCCAGAAAAGCTCAGTGTCCTATATTTGTCAAAATGACATTGCACAAAAGACTCCTGCAACCAAGTTGAGCCACACCACATCCAGCCTTCTCAAGGCACCGACCACACACTCGACTCAGTTATTTCACGAGGACAGGAAGAAACATACAACAACCACGCCTAGTTTAACAGGCTCGCCAGTAAATACCACTCCACCGAAGCTTGTGAGAGAAGACGATGTCATACCAACACTTGCTTCTGTTGAGCAAGCGACTAAAATGATGGAACTCTTTGGTGATCCGATGCTGCCAACAGCATACTGTTGCCTGGACAAGAACAACGTTCCGTACGAATGTGCCCGAACGGAATGCTCGGACAAGTCTACAACATACCTCCCAGGTCACACATACTTTCGTCGTGTCGAACACTTCACAACCAAATTGGTACCAGTCACTCCAGCGACCATCGACCCACAAACGACAGCTCTAAGAACGTTCGGTGCTCGCCAGTTGCTGCCGACAGCCCTTTGCTGCTTGAATGATGATGGCACACCCTACTATTGCGCTCAACACCAATGCGATGTGAAACATACAACTTACATCATGGGCCATACCTACAATCCACGATCTGAGATTGCTCCGCACACATTCACTACTATCATTTCGTCAGCTGATGGTGCATCATCATGAGTCTCTGGTTACAGTCATCCTGCTGTCTGTTGACATTCAGATCAACCATTCCGTGAGTGCTCGGGCTCATCACAAAATGTCGTTCGTGACCAAAAGTTTGAAAGCGTTTATGTCTAATATGCCATCCTCGGATAGTCCAAAAGTCGTTTAAGCATTGATACAGCAGTACGAGTGCAAGTATTTCGATATACTGCCTTGGAACCAACCAAAAAGTCGACGTGAGAAGTATTGATTGAGGTCTAAACGTGGCACTGGTACCCAACAAAGGATAGATCCCAGATTAGACTAGGCGTTTGCATGCCTTGAACAATCGCTAGTGATTACAATAGCATAGTATGTACCACCTTTACACTGTCTAACAGATGCCACGAACGTAGTGTTGGTTGCCAAAGCATCATAGCTTCACTCTGCTATTCGTCTCGTTCCACTCCACACCATTCGTTTTCGAGCCACTCACTTGTAAGCCCAAAGCCCTCTCTATCCGCCTCAACCCCTCAAGCAGATTCTCCTCCTTCTGACTAAACACAATCCTAAACCATCCAGGCCTCTCACTCCCGAAACTCGTTCCAGAGGCAAGGAAGACCTTTTCCGATAACAGTGCCTCATTCACTATCTGGTTGAGGCTATTATCACTGGACGCTGATCCAGGTGCTGGCGCAGGAACCAGCTCTTGAAACGACTGTTCACTTTGATGTGTCGGTTTGGGTTGCAACTGCTGTGCTCCCCGAGAATTATGGATCTTCCCTAAGTTGACCCAGAGGAAGAAGGCAGCATTGACGCCCTTGGCATATTCAATCTTGTGTTTGTCTGCCCACGCAACGACTGTCTCATAACTTGCTTTCAGCCGTCGTTGGTTCTCGGCGATATACCAGTCTGTAAACGCGTCGTCCGAAAATAACTTCGTAGCAAACGCTTCTGTAAGTGAGGAGGCGTAGCTGTTTATCGCTACCGGGATCAATGCATTGTGTAATTGCGGATTATGCTGTGAAATGATTGCGCCGAGGCGGATGCCGTTCGCACCGAAGTCTTTTGAGAGACCGTAGAGGATGTGTGTCAGCGAGGGATCGATCAAGCCATCTGTTGGGATTGATGCTAGCGATGTGAAAGGCTCGATGTGTTCGTCTGGCCCACCTGACGTCCGAAACACGGAGAGCGCGTAGATCTCATCTGAAACGAGGTGGATCTTGTGTTGCTGACAGAGTCGCATTAGCTTGATGATGAATGCTCTAGAGTAGCATCTGCCGAGCGGATTGTGAGGGTTGCAGAGCATTATGCCGGCTACTCTTTGGTTTTTGGCGTGGCAGTGGTTGATGGCAGCCTCATAAGCTGACACTGCTTCGGTGGACAATGGATCGGTGTCGTCGAACGCAACTTTCACAACTTCCAACCCAGTTCTTAGACAAATGTCATGCAGGAACGACCCGTAATGTGGCTGACCAAGAAGGAAGACGTCGCCCTGGTCACCAAGGATGCTGCTGAGGTGCTCGATGCCAGTTGTCACACCGTTTGTGACGCATATATGTGAAGGTTGCATCTGTATTACTGGTCGTAGTTTCTTGTTTAAGAACCCTGCCATTGCTTGTCGTAGCTTCTTTGAGCCGTTGCCACCGTCGCCATAGGTAAGTCCAGTTAATGGCATATGGATGTTAGAGTGGATGTAGTCGCTGAGTTCCTCGTGCATGAGACCATTCTCTGCAACACCAAGGCTGACATAGCCATGAGGGTTTGTTTTTGGATCCCAGAGGTCTTGAATAACTTGCCATATCAGCATGTCAGGGCCGAGCTTGGCCCATTCTTGGCCGCGTTTGGACAGTGCCATTATGGGCACTGATGGAAGTCAAGTTGATAAAGTGTTTCTTTTGCTCAGGGCGGATGCAAGAACATCAACCCGATTCATTAGTCTGTCTTGCATGAGCTCGCTGAGGTATCATTGTTTCCTCTTATACTTCAACTAATGTTTGTAGATGAAGGTGCACATCTCCATTTGACGTCACAACACGCCCTTTGCACTACAAGTTCATATGAAAATGCGCAACCTTACCTGGATGATCTGACAATAAATGCAACTCAGACCCCTAAGCGCGCATTCAGAAGATCGATAACGACATGCACTTGAAGTTTCCTGAGTGCCTGTAGTTCTGCTTAGACACTGATCAGAGAGATCTTGTAGGGCGTCCAATAGACATGAGCGAAGAGCTGTAAATGGTCAAAGTATTGTGTATTCGATATGCGACTGAGCCCGCTAGGCAAAGGCGCCTACTATAGCCATCAGTAAGCCACCACAAGCGACAGCAAGATTAGCTTCAATTCTTCGTCTTCCCCTCAGAGCTTTGTAGCTCGGATCTGCAAGAAAATCCTCAGCAACAAGCTGCACTAAGCCAGCGAACAATAACAGCCCACTGCTGATGGCATTGGTAATTCCAACCGTCAAAAGTCCGACCTCGGAATTAGGATCGTACAACCTGTGCAGCAGGAGCCCGATGACTTGTCCGACGGGTGTGGTTGTCCCATACGCCAAGCACATCAACCAGGGCTTCGGTGAATGCGCATCGAACAGGATCGGTATAAGGTTGGCAATCCTGGCACCAAGAGCGAAGCCTTCAAAAGTCTGGTGGAAGCAGATAGCAATAAGTAGTACGATGAACTGTGTTCCTGTTGCCACTGAAACGGCCATGCCAATAAAGATGCTGTGAAAGAGAATGCCGGCTTCGAGCAGCAAGCATTGGAGGAACATCTTTTGCGCGTCCTGATTTCCCGAGACTGATCCATGACCCATAGACTCATGCCTCTTGTGCATTTCTGGTCGACTCAACACTGCAGACTCATCAGCGACCGGATCAAAAGCGTCAAGATCGTCCATATCAACAGATTCGTCGTCGTCCTCCTCTCGGTTGTCCTTAAATCTCGACTCTCCAGTAACAGGGTTGTTCATTGTAGATGCATCAAGCACTTCATGACTTATCTTACTCAGTGGAATATGCCCATTTGCACCGTGACTCGATCCTTCTTCAAGACTACTTCTCGCATCATTTCCGCGTAATCCTTCCAGCGCATCTCCGTGGCTATGTCGGGCTCCTCGTAATGCAAAGAATTGTTCTATGCTGACAACGGCAAATACGGCAAGCATGGCGACAAAGCCAGGCATAGGTGGATATATCTCATTCCAAAATCTTGGTAGGCATGGATCCGTCATAGAAATGAATGCTGTCGGAAGGAGGTGGATGAACGCGGTTGCAATGAGGACGCCAGTGCCGAAGTGTCTCGAAAGGAAGATGAATCGGTGAGGTATTGGTAGTGACGGAAATCGCCTTGCAATGACTGGAAAGGCACATGCTAGGTCTCTGTAAGCATAACAGCAACGAGCGCATCAAGAGTCTACCCACCTATCGTGCTGAGGAAGAGGATGATAAACACTGCCAATATGTGAATTGGTACATTGTATGCCCCCCTCTTGCCCGTTGTTCCACAAGCAGGCTTTCTTGTGCCACCTTCTTCATCCCGTCGAAGCAGCTCAGCCTTGAGTAATTCTACCGAGATCGATCGCAGGTCATGATTGATTCCTGAATATAATCAGACATTATTGACTCGACACCAGTCACAGACTTACTGTCAATGCCTCCTTTGACAGCATTGTCCATCAGATATCTGTAAGTCGGGAACGACTGCAAGTACCACTAGTTAGGATTCATAACACCTCAGATTGACGCAAGAGCTGAAGTTCCCATTAATATCAAAGGAACATTAAAGGCTGATGGATCCACAGTCTTGGAAAAGGACATAGAGACCACACAGATGCCCGTTTCAAAGTGTTTAGTCTTGGGATGTTTTTGAGATGCAAGCTTGGTCCATGCAAGCCGCCGGTGCTACTTTGTGATTTTTTACTATAAGAGTTCCACGAGACCCAGTCTATACACAACATCTAGGCTTTCACATGTTCTTTTGTCTCTGAAGCAGTTGCTGAACATCGGACCCTCGGCACCATTCGTCCGACGCTAGTCCGAACTAGTCAGTTTGCGTCAATCACCAAAATTTGAGTATAGATCATATATGTAAAAGCAAAATTTGCTTCCCAGATGGCACATCAGCGAGATCGAGTAAACTTGATCTTTCCTCCCGATGGTGTAGTTGGTTCATCACGTTCGGCTGTAATTGTCTTCCGCAATCATTGCAATGATTGCTACCGAAAGGTCCCTAGTTCGATTCTGGGTCGGGAGATATATCTTTTTGCTTTTTTCTTGGTCGCAATGGTCAAGATAATGAAATTTTTATGCGTCGAGTGTGGAGAGGAGTTGCTTTGTGATGGTGGGTAACACAACCACGAGAAGGTATCGATTTCCTGAGCATTCCTCAGCTAGGAGGACACAATCTTCCTAATTTGTGTTGCATAGAACAAGTTGCATTAAATTTTTACCACATGATGAGGCATGCCTTTAGAGCTCACATTAGAAGATGTCCGGAATCAGCAGCTATGCAGCGCGTTGCTATAGCATGTCCCCGACCAATAGACATCAGACTGTCAAGCTGACTCGAGAACCTATCTTCGATTCATTATGTTACTACACTAAGGCTAATACCGCCGTCCATCCGCATGATCAATTCATGGGCTTGATTGCATGCATGTCCGATCCAGCACCTGATTTTAGACAAGGCGTGCCTTTCACACTACGCAGATTTCCTATCATCTGCAATAGCCCATGAGCGCCAACGCATTGGAGTAGGTTCCGAAAGATCAAGCACTAGTCTTGCCCACCTCGTCAGAACGATATGAGCAGTGGAGCTTAGCGATTTCAAGGGCGGAAGCCCCTTTTTGCAATTTGACATGTGACTGGTCGTGGATCGAGGTCTTGGTGCTCGGAGTGACACTGGCTCCTCACGGTGAGAACTCGAGGACTGATGCTGCTCGTCATGGTGAAGGAGCACCACACCGGAGCAGAAAACTGGGAATGGCATTCATGGTTGGAATATTCGGGGGATGTGGCAGGGTCAACTCGAGATCATCGGAGTGATGTTTGTCACTTCACAAACAATACAGAGAATGGCGGAGAGGTTAGACAGTATGTACGTTCGTCAAATCTTCGCCTTTTATCTAAAACAACCATATTCAATAAGAAACCAAGCCAAACCAAACACTAGCAAGACTCCTCAAAGTTTGACTCCTTTACAACCGCGCTTTTTCCGAGCTTCCCTCAATCCGTTTTCCCTGCTCATCAAACCTAACCACCTCACCTGACAACAGCGCATCCTGCAACGCTCTTGCAATAACCATGACCTGCATGCCTGTCTCCAGCTTCAACGGCACTGCTCTATCTTCCAAGATAGCCTCAATAAATTCATTCGCTTCCGTCTCAAATGCACTCTCAAATCTCTGCCAATACTCCGGCTGTACCTCGTGTCTAACCCCCAGTTTGTCATTGACCACCACATTATTCGCTCTGGGCACCACGTTAACCTGCACCTTCCCATCGGTTCCCGTCACTTCCGTACAAACATCATGACCGTGCGCCTGCGTCCTGCTGCAATAGTAGTATGCCATCTTGCCACCCCAGAACTCAACAACACCAACCGCGTTGTCGACGTCCTTGCTCTCTGCGAGCTCGGGGTGGTGATGTAGCGCGCCGATGCCCCAGCAGGCCTTTGGCGTGGGATCGGATAAGTACCAGAGCGTCAGATCAATATCGTGAATTGCGCAGTCGACCATTATGCCGCCGTTTTTCTTAGCGTAGCGGACGAAGAAGCCAGTGTTGTCCAGGAGGTCACAGGTTTGAGAGCGGACAAGGAAGGGGGAGCCAATGGCGTTCTGGTGGAGGACTTTGGTGGCGGCGTCGCGGTAAGATGCGTCAAAGCGACGGGAGAAGCCAGCCATAACCTTCAAGTTCGGCTTTGCATTTGCTGCGTCGATGACTGCTCGGACCTAGAAGGCAATATTAGCAAAAATGATAGTAATTACGTGCAAAGTCAACTCACCTCATTGAGGTCGGTGCTCAAAGGCTTCTCACAGAGAACGTGTAAGTTCTTCTCGATCGCTGCAAGGGATTGAGAGGCGTGGACATCTGTGCTTGTGCTGATCCAGACTGCCTGAAGACCTGGCATAGAAATCATCTTCTGGTAGTCATCAAAGACTTGGATGCCGAGTTCTTGGTACTCCGGGTTCGACTTAGCCCACGCAATCTCACTGGGCTCGGTCGTGCAAACACCAATCACCTTAGCATGAAGAACACGGTGAACCAAGTTGTGAACATGTCGTCGGCCCATGCGTCCTAGGCCAACGACGGCGATTGTGATCTGTCGCGGTGCTGACATTTTGAGTAGCGGATTGAATCTGTGGTTGGCAACGAGTGGTGTAGTGAGGGTGTCAATGGACTTCTTCGTCCCGCATCGAATAGCATGGTGATCGTCTGCTTATATACACTCGTGTGTGTCGTTGTAGAGCTGCTTCATTGAGATCTTGACGTCGTCATTCGGCTTCCTATCTGGCAAAAGGAGCCTCGCCATGAATTACCCCATCCAGATATACCTCCAGAGTGCGTAGATGGCATGCCTGCCGCTCCGCAGGGTGGACTACTTGAGGAAATGAAACCCGTGCGATCGGGCCGCTGTCCTAAAATTGGTTGTGCAGGAACCAAATCCGCAACCAGCATTTGTACTCTGAAGTGTTGAGGCACTGTACGAAGAAGGATACTTCAAAGCCTCTGGAATCCTGTTCTCCTTCGTCATCACGAGATTTCTCATCTCTCTTACAGAATGAGAAAGAGAGGATCTTGGAACGGGTTACCGAAGTCATTTCAGCCATCGGCAAGCTCAGGGCACGCTGATGCACCGACTTCATAACACACGTCAAGAATATCTTCATCGTTAAGCCCAACAAATTTGCAAGGGAGCAGATGCTGGTACACCCTCGTGCCTATCGAGCAATCGCAGAGTTCAGCCCCTCCATAATGTTTGCCAAAACCCCTAAACCTGTTGAAGTATTGCTTGACAAAGGCAGCATACCTCTTTTGCGCTGTGAATGGCTGATCGAGCGATGACTGGGCTTCTCTGACTGTTGATACCTAACTTCTGTTTGCACATTCTCCTCCCCAGTAGATCGGTTTTGTGCAGCTGAGCACGAGGACTCACAACATCTCTCAAAACATTGAAAAAAGAGCTAGATGTTACAATCGCTGGGGTTGCTCATCTGAAGATGACTCGTGAAGGTCTACTCAAACACAATGTTCAACTTACCATGTGTTGGTGAAACGAATGGGCGCCGACACGCCTGCAACTTGATTTAATCATAGATGCGCAAAAGGCAGCAGAAAACAAAACACACGCATGTTTACTACATGCGAAGCTAAAGACTAGTATACGGCAATTGTTGACAATAGACAAGCAAGATTACAATCCAAGAGTTCTTCAGGTAGATCTTGCCACTCATGTTTGTGCTCTACGTATCTTTCTCAGAGACGGACTGTTCATCGTTTCAGCCCACTTGAAATCCAGCTTGGTTCCTTGTTTGCATACTCCATCTTGGTGCTTGCATCTGCTATCGACTTGTGCAGATGGTGCTCTGAGCAGACAGCTTAACTTCCAGATATAGAAGCATTTCACACGAACAAGAATAAACTCGAAATCAAAATCACCGTTTGGTTATTTAATTGCATTCCGCGAAAATCGATAGTACGTGTTCTGTGTGCACAAGCAAAGACGAAGCATGCGAAGTCGTGCAAGAGGAGCGAATCATTTACAGTGGAAAGACGACAAGTGTATGCTATATTGCGTACCTTCATGTCGATGTCGTAACAACCACTACTTGACGGTTCGGAAGTTCGAGAAGAATACCACTGAAAGAAGCAGTGCACTCTCAAAGATCCTTGAGATGGAGTTGTAACATCAAAGCCCAAGACCATAAATGCTTCGTAGGCGTGTCTCCGATGCCCCCAGATGCACATATACTTCAACTTCACTCTTCCTTCACTAGCCTCTTGATCTGTTGTGACAGACCTCCAATGCCACATTCAACCTCCATATCGCGCACCAAACCCTAGAGGCTGGTTTTTTTTGGTATGTTGTAGAGGGGCCCATACGTGCATTTGGGATATTCATATTCGAAAGAAACTGCGTCAGGATTTGCATATCAAACAGTGCTCGCTTCGGGATCGGTGAGCCACTTAGACTTTCGAAACGGCAGGTTTCAGCAATAATGGACAGAATCCATAGCTAGCTAATTGAAGTAAGAGGTAATAAAGCAAGGACATTGTGACAAGGACGAAGTGCACATAGGCTAAATCAGGATATACATGGGAAACAGTGAGCGCAGAACATGATGTCACTGGTGGGCGATTAGCATGAAATTGCTGTACAAACGAGAACCGTTGTTTGGTATCAATCTGTAGCGTTGTATTTACATATCTTCCGAAGCAGTAGCACCCTAATGTCGCGTTAGTGGTGGGCAAAGTGAAAACGGTGGAGGAACGTACAGTGATAATCTCAACCAACTCGCCAGTAATGACAGCTTGTCGAGTTCTGTTGTACAGAATGGTGAACTTGCTGATCATGTCACCAGCGTTCTTGGAGGCATTCTAGGTTTTGTTAGCTTATCACGAAGTAATTCTCTGGCGGAAACAATGCTTACGTCCATAGCATTTCGTCGAGCAGATTGCTCGCAAGCATGACCCTCGGCTAGCGCCCAGAAGAGAGAGTTGGCAAGCGAGTACTCACGCATATTGGCTAGAACTGCGTCGTCGATCTCGTAGGCAGCGAAGTTCGGCGATTGTGTAATAGCCTCCTCGGAGAATGCCTCGATGGGGGTTGGTTCGTAACTCTGAGCATTGATGAACTTGTTGTAGAGGATCTTGACACTGGCGTATTCTTCAGGGAGCAGACAGATTTGATCGGCAATAGCTTGAGCGTCGGCGAAGGTCGGGACGTCCTTTCCAACACCGGCGAAGCTGAGAACAATTTGCTTTGCGTTCGATCGAGAGAGTTGGGCCTTGCACTTCTCCCCCACAATAGCAATGTCCACATTGGAGTTTCCTTCGACCATTCGTCGGGTTGCTCGAGAAAGACCGGAGTGAATACCACCGCATAGACCTTTATCGGAGGAGCAGATCACCATCAAAGTCTTCTTGTCCTCCAACGGCTTGGTTTCGGCTTCCTCGAAAACCTGATTGGATGTCTGACCATACGTTCTTGATTCAGTCATGGCTTTCTGGGCTCGAGTGAGTTTCGTGGAGGCG